GTCTGTTACAGATCAATCAGACGTTTGCTTTGGTTGAACACACTTTGAAGACGTACTTGCAGTATTCTAGTTCTTACAAATTGTCATAAATATCGTCAAAAAGTGTTGTTTTCGAAAGAGGTAATTAATGTACATGTATGATCAAGTATGTTTCAAATAAGAAACATACGGTAAAATAGGAGCAAAAGTGTAAATACATGTATAAGGCATAAAAAGCATACAAACCCATTTTTACTTTAAATAACAAAATAGCCAAAATAAATAAATAGTCATGTCCAAAATAGAGCAATTAAAATCTGTTAATTGAGTGCTCATCCCGTGACCTCATTTCCAGTAATTATGGTATGAATTTGTTTCGGAAAGTTTTTATAATTCATTTTCCATTGTATAAATACACTTCAGCTGAAGCAGCTGAAACAGTTGCAAGTGCGAATCTATAAAACTAAATAACATTAACAATACATTTACTTTATATGTAAGCTATTTTATATGAGCAATTGAACTTGGCAATATTTCGAAAATAACTTGTTGAGTTAAAGATCATAAAACAACCTTTTATCGTTAAACCATTCAAAGAAACATTTATATTATATCACATCAATTTGGAGTGTTTTCATATATCTTTTACATAAAGTATTCGTGTACTTTTGTTTAGCTTGGAATTTTGTTTACCCATGAATTCTGTAAAAAACAACTACTTAAAGAAAAGATACACGCAACGTTAAATATAAATTCTAACTGGGTCTACCTTTGAAAATTAATATTATAAAGGAAGCTTTATTTAATTTGACAACTCTGGTCATTCTTTTGTTAGCATTTTATTGGATAATGTATTCCAACATGTTTTTTGTAAACCATCATATCTAACTGGTCACCCTGTGCATATTACAAATCAGCCAAAATCTTATCTTGCTTTTATGTTAATTGATGAACGTTTGCTAATGCCTACGTCACATTACAAGCGAGGACCGGCCGATATAGAGGGATCGATGGGACACCGTTGATAAGTTGAGATCGGAGAGAAGCATTTCAATCATGTCCGAGAAGAAGTGGGTGGCCATTCTCCCTCAACTTGAATATACATACTAGAGCACAGTTAAGCCACCGTATTGTTCCTGGACAGTCTTTCAAGCAGTTAAAAAGTAATAATGTATTTCACTTTTGCAAGGTACTGATAATCTCTGTACAATTAAAGTGACATTCACCGTTGTCCAAGAATTGAACACGGGTCGCCTAATTCAGAGTCCAAAGCTTTACCTGCCGTAAGGTCTGTTTAATAACCCTAACGCTATCTTTACGGACACCTTAGGACCATACGTGCAACGTACTGCGTCCATCCGGGCCCTGGTCAGTAACCTGTCGAGACGCCTACGGAGACCGTTCATATATCGCTCGGAAACTGGAGGAATATTTGGCGCCCAGGAGGTGAAAATTTCAACCGGTATATAACCGATAACAAAAGGTGTCCGGCCGGGTATCGAAGGGCATTTCACCGTGTCTGCTACGGTGAGCTGGCGATGTACCGGATGCTGGAAAAAAATAACTCTGCATTAAAATTCTCCGATTAACTGTACGGTGCCCCACCGGTCACTTGACACCGGAGGGTCACCGGCCGGAGACCTTTAAAAATATTGCGATTTTAGCCCGTTCAGACATCGGTACCTCATCGTAAACCTAATCGGAGTGTATTGTGACGCAGGCATAAGCTATTGCATTTCCCTTTTATGTGTTTCGGAAGGGGAGAAAGGGTTTTGATTTTTCAGTCATGTGATGTGAAAGACATGAAGTGCACAATTATTTCGAGCAATATGTTCGATTTAAATATTATATTTTAACAAGTATCACTAAACTGGAATATTTCCTTATCTAAAGCATCACTAAAGCTTTTTCGGACTGCTCGGTATTAATTCTTTTAGGTGTTTTAAGCTTTTTCCTGTGTATAAGTACACTATATTTCTTTATTTTACATTCCATTAGGTTTGTTTCAATCCGATTACAATTAGCGCCTTTTAGATCTAACCGTGACCAAATTCGAAATCATTTCTGTTGACCTTTCACACAGCCAATCATCGGCGAGCTTATATAATTTAAAAGCGATGTGGTTTCTTGAAAACCAATACAGAGTAGGTAATTTTCACGATTTTCGAGAACAAACATGGCGTTGTCCATAAAGCCGACAGGTAAACTGGCAAAACAATCTTGCCTATTAAAATTGACTCTATTATTTCAATTTAATTTGTTAGAAATTACTTCAAACATTTTTTTCTTACATAAATTTGTTTAACTTCCACGGATAATGGTATTTTGATACCTTCTTTAAAAGCCTATGTAAAAACCGGTTTGATTGCATGGCTAGAAATAGCTTTCTCGGGAAATCCGAATTATATCGAAGACAAAACATATACGGTCGTCATCAGATCTACATAAAAGAAATATTAGTTAGATTGGGGGTTGTTTATAAAACACACATATCTCAAATGTACATGTTCAATTATTTATTTCATTTATTTATTGTGGGGATAAGGGTTAAGAACTTTGGCCTTTGGTACAGATCGATCGCTAAATAATGTTCTAAAAACGTTTGACTACCCTTTTGCTATTTATTATTTCGAAAATCTTTTGACTTTGTGTATATTTACACGTAGCGATAAAATATTATTAAGCTTAACAACAAATATTTAGCTGGGACCATAATCTGTCGAATGCTTGTTGAAGAATTGTGTCGGCACTTTGCAAAATATCTATTCGATCACGCAAAAACGAATCTTAATTACATATTTTCACTTGTTTTAAGTCATCGTTTGATGATCAATACCGCTGACAAGGCTGACTATTTCATATGTGTTTCGTCTGTGTTCGTATTATAATAAGAATCTGACAACTCGATCAATTCTATGTAAACTGGTTCTCGTATGGGTATATTTGATGCTCTTGACAATACAATGTACATGTGTTGTTATTATCCGATATAATTTTGGTATTACTTTGACCTTATTTTCAACGGATTTAATTATGGCTTATTTGCCAAACAACGTCATGTTTCAACAATATAGTGCTGTATTTATAAATGGAGCATGAACAGCTTCACAGGTGTATTGGCATGTTTACATCATTTACTCTGTTTTCTTGTTTAAATAGTACATGTTAGCAATATTTTGAAGAAAGTTTTTGTGTCATTAGTTGTTTGACATTTTAATCAACTCTTTGAAGGAGTCATAGTTGAGTGCCATTTGGTCAAAACAAAGAAACATCAAGGTATTTTGAAGTACACTGTATATACTAATCATTTTTTATCATATTCAAGTTGAAAAAAAAGACAAACCAATGGTATAAGCTCAAAGAAAGTCTGTAACTAGAAAAGGGCAATGAAATACCTGATATTCCATTTTGAGCGTATAATTGTCTGTCCCTTTTCTTAAGATATTTCTATAGGAAATACACTGTTGTTGTTGTTTCGTCATTTAACCCGCTTGTCTCTTTTCTGTTACTTCTAACGTTTTCAAATATCTCATTTGATAATGTGTTTCTGCTAATGTGTTTCTGTGTTTCTTATCCGTTTGATTTAGTTTGAATTATGCTGGGTCAAGTCGAAAATCAATTAGGTCTTCGGCAGATTTTTTTTTTAAATAAAATTTTCTACTTGTCTTTTAAGTCAACGCGACGGAGGACAACATCTAACAGTGTATCAATAGTCGTTTATTTTATTTACACACTGCATCTCATCACATTTTATATTATATGATTCAGTTTCACACTTGAAATACAAAGTTAAGTGTCCTCTTATTTCGAGCAAGGTTACTCGTAATGTATAAAACATTCTTGCTGTAAGAGATATAGTACTCACAAATGTTATACGAATCTCTTTTAAGCATTTGTTTTACAGTGTGCAGGTAGTGTGCGTTGTCTGCTTTTTTTTGAAGTCATCCGTTAATTCAATCAAATGAAAAAAAGAAGCTATGAAAATAAGTTATGATTCCGGAATGTCTGGATAATTATGAATGCTGATATAGAGAAAATAAGGTTAATACTTAAAATCAGTATTCAAACAATCCGGTTTTTTTTTGTTGTTGTTATTTTGTTTTTTTGTGTGCGTTCCTTCCAACATTGAAGGTTTTTATGTAATTCTCATATCATTACTATAAAAATGTATTCAAATACGTTAGTAAGTTTTGTAATTTGAGAGAGATAAAATTAGACACGGTTTTTTTCTATCTTAGAAACCTTATTTTGTTGTATCAAAACAGAATAAGATCTCGATCAACTCTCAAATTATGATGTAGGCGAAAGATTACTTATGAATGAAATATCATATGTCATCATTTATTTAAATATTGGGCATTATAAAAGAAAATTACAAAGTAATAAAAATCAAACTATTACTCTAAAAGGAAAAATATAATATATTTATATAGAGAGAGCTATGTGTATATTATATATTATATTATATAGATCTATATATAGAGATCTATATACCATACCATGACAAGTTTAGGAAGATATTAAAGAGTCGTTAATTTTTTTGAACTATGCCATTAATGTTCATGCTATGTTTCATTTATTATATTACTTGGGTTCCTATGTAGAGCGTTCATGCGTAGCATTGATCACTTGTTGATGATGTTTCTTTCATGTTATAAAATAATTAAACTTCATTTCTCTGATTGTACCAATCAAAAATGCTACTTTTATACCAAATGAAAAAATAATGTAATTAAACTCTAAAATAGATTTTTGTGGCTATGATTCTATGTCATCATAACCATCGAGTAAAAGAAATTTTATAATTAATTTTAGTCCAAGATGTTAACATGTTCTCTTTCGGTTACCCTGTCGTAAAGAAATCATTCAATCATCTATGCTGATATTATATAAGAATCACACTTGACATGCGTAGATTTCTACAAAGGCCCCCAACGACGCATCGCACCCCAAGCACTACATTTAAAGTATTGAAAATCACCGGGGATGTGAGTTCTCACTCATTTAACATCATAGCCGACTGCATTTGATGTAACTGATAATTAAGTTAATAATTTTCAAATGTTTCCTGCGTTTGCTATCCTCTTTCAGACAATTATATAAATACTGAAGCTTCCAACGCATATGAAATGACGCAAAGGATGTCAGTCGAAAAGCACAATTGTTAGTTTATTTCTGAAAAGAAATGAAAAGAAAAAAAGCATGAACTGTCTTTAATGCGACTCAGACGGAGACATTGACAAAAAAGAGATGGCATGAATGACATTAAGTTATTAAAATAAATGTAAAATCTAGATTAAACCACCCGAGAGGGATATTTTGTGAAAAGTGAACTTGTGTGAAATTCTTTGGAACAGGTTAATACTTTTGTAGTTTTCTGGTAAAAACATTATCATGTAATAAAATTAGCTCTTCACATACCTCCTAGAAAAGTAAAAGGCACTTCATTGTTGAGGATGAAATTCATGGTGTTAAATACAGTTATACGAAGTTCTGAACAAAACATGTAAAACATTGTGTAATTGTTCTACTAAATGGCTTTTCTTACGGAATTTAAATCTACAAATGAGATAAAGAACTAGTTAAAGAATAAATGAAGGATGAGGAATCAGAGTAGAGTACAAAGCAGATCCATGGTATGTATTATGTATAACGTTTACCTTTTTGTATGAATATCTCTTATATTAAAACAAAACAATAAGGAAAATGCCTTTGTGGTGAATTGTGTTTTCATTGTAGTTAGATATATTTATGCTTTGAATTCTTTCTTGATAGGCCTTTTAATGAAAATACATTGCACATCAGAAAAGCAAGCCAAAACAACATCACAATCTGTGCAATTCTATATAAATAAAAGAGAATTAAACTTAATTCATATATTTATAAAATAAATGGTAGCAAGTCTCGAATCCAATTAAGCACGTGTTCGTAGACATTCCAAATCATATGTTGAACTGAAGAAAAAATAAGTCTATAAAGTTTGTTCAGTTTTATATCATTATTAAATAACAAATGAGCGAAACACGTTTAGCTAAATTGTTTAAGAGAATATATATCATTTTTACTTCTTAATCTTTTGTTTGAATAATGAAGATTGATATTTTTTTTTACTTTTTTTTATTTTTACATTCAAATATTCTTACGTACAGAACTATTATCGTTCATTGAGGCTTTTCTAAATAGTCATCAACTTTCAATTTCCTTAATGCATGATGTCTTTATCATTTTTATCATAAATTTTCATCTTTATAATATAATTATAGAATATTTTTTATTTAGTTTTGCAAAAAGTTATGCAAGACATTAGGAAATCAAAATCGCCATCATTACACAACAATACAGGGCAGATACTTTTTTTCTTTTACTTGTACAAGCATAAATCGTCTCACAAACTTTAACAATTTTAATAACTTCCTAAGCGGTATTTCTTTTTACTTTTGCAACTTAGCTGTGGTTACATGAAGATTCCATTTTTTCTCTACAAAAAAACAACAAACTGTTAATGTGCGATGGAAAGCTTTTTTCGTTCTGTGGAAGTCATAGGGCATACTCAAGCAATGAACAAGTTTTGCTTTTCTTTAACAATCATAATTAAGGTTGTTTTTTAAATTTTTTGTACGTTTATCTCATTTTTATTTTTTAAAAGCCATGTGTTAATGCTGATTGTAAGTGTTTTGATTTGTTTGTTTGTTTTTGTTTTTGAGATGTTTGCAGCGGTAAATAGTCATTCAATCAATATTTTTATAGTCCAACGGTGATTTTTCTTTCATTTTGTGAGAATTTCTTAACAGTCTTTGAATATCTTCTTTCAATTTGCTTATGTTGACAAATGGTTCGATAATTGCTTTGTCATTTGTAAACGAAGTGGTATGCATTTAATCAACATAACTAAGATTCGGAGCTGTTTACATTATCAAAATGCTATTTATCACTCATAACCACGGATTTCAATAACTGAAGAATGCACAACAAAGACTTACAAAACAGCTTATCAATGACTAGCTGATTTTTCTTTCTATTTGTTGATATTGTGATTGTTTTTACTGTGATAATGAAGTTCACTCATTACGTTTTTAAAGTAGATGTGGATTATAAAAAAGAAATATTATACATTATTGCATCACCGAAACTGCAAAATATATACATGGTGTGCCGCATGAATGAAAATAAGTAACACTTAAAAACAAACTAAGCAGAATAATTGCTGATATTATGAAAAAGAAATATTTGTGGCATATAAAGGCAAGAATTTTTGTTACGGAGAAAAACATCGTACCAAACCGCATACACGTTAGTGCCGTTAACAATAATTTAAAACATCGGTATTAACTATCGTAAGACAGGAGAGAAAAATATAAACATTCAAAATTGACAAACACTTCTTGGTGTTGGTATCATTATCGTAAAAAAAGTTCTTGGTGTTTGTATCATTATCGTAAAAAAAGTTCTTGGTGTTTGTATCATTATTGTAATGATCTTATTGTTGTGATTGATACATGCAGTATTTAAAAGGTTGTTTGATTTTTTAATTCCATTTAATTTTCTAAATTCATTAGTAGTATTCATGATTTATTTATACACAGTGGGGTAATTTAAATGCTACAAGTCAGGTGTTATCAATTTCAAAATGTATCAAAAGCTTCTCTAACCTCAGTCTGTCATCAAACCAAAGATAAAACCTGGTTTTAACTGAGATTTAATGAGAATATTCAACAAAAATATCGGTGAACATTATAACGCAAGTGATGTAATGAAAGATTGATCCAATTATCGTAAGTGAGTGCTAAATGTTTTAACGGATGTGAAAGATATCAAAATATGTTCTTCAAAGATGCTTGCTTTCTTGGCTTTTTACATGTTTTGTTAAATACAGTATACAATATTTACGTCATATAGTAAAAATATGAAAACAGAGATCGACAAGGAAGGATATTCGTTTTATCACTTAAGACTTATTCGAAGAATATTTGAACTTACCTGTAACAGTCTATAAGTATATTTGCATGACGGTCTAAGTACTACTAGTATTGTATGGATTATGATATTGTAAAGAAATAACTTCACATACGTTTTTAACATTGTTTTCTCCATTCCGAACCTGTCTTTTTCATCAATTAGATGCTTTTAATTCATCTACCAATCATTTTGATGACAACATTTGTTTAACAATATACCATTCACCTGTCCATCTGCTTTTCACTTACTTGGAAATGTAACTGCTTTGTCTTATCATCATGATGCTGATAACTGCTAAAGGTTCACTAAAAGCCAATGTTACTACCATGAATCAATCATATAAAAATACTTAACGATTCAAACTGCAGTACAATGAGATACAAAGTTATATATAATAGTTTCGGGTTCTATGCAATAATTTTACTTAAATCTGTCTGGAAAATGAAATATGTAAAACCCAAGATATTTCCTGTACAAAAATAAAAAGGATACTACAGTTTTACAATCGTGGCAGGTATACGCTTAGGTGATGAGCCCGCAGACATAGCTTCTTATTAATGTGACATGTTAAATTATGTAAAGATAATACAATTATAAAAAAAATAAATTATAGATTACATGAATATGGAAAAAATTGCAATAGTAAGTCGAAATAATAAAAAGAAAAAAAATATTAATACTGCTAGCATGTCTCGAACCCGTACTCAGCGCCGAAACGTATTAACTGATCAGCAAAAAGCCGATGGTACATTCGAATCTGCTTTCCGTCATTTCCAAATTATTCCAGATTATTGTTGACTGTATACATTATGAAAATTAGAGCGAGCGATGTAACCCGATCGTTTGCCGTGAATTATCGGCGATGAATTTAAAATAACTTCTAGACAAATAAATAAATAAATAAAATGATATTTGAAGCATATTTTAACACTTTTATTGATACATTTGGTTTAATCTTCTAAATATTAATATCAACTTAGCTGTTGATAGTTTTTATACAGTATAAATGCACCGAGAAGAGATTATAGATCTAAAATGCTTTTATTCTGTTAAAAACTATATAAAGACTCTCTTAATCATTTTACTGTCGCCAGTCAGTCCAAATTACATATCATATCTTTCTTTATATCTTTCCGCTACCCAGTTTAGAATCAAAATAATGCAATATCTAAACACAAATGTACTTAAATAAATTTGTAATGGTGGATTATAGCTTCTAATTTATTAAGATGTACAACATTAAGTTTATATTTTGCATGTTATAAACACCTTAATTGTTCCTTGTAATTGTTTGACATAAAGATTTCCAGATATATCATTATATCTTAATGCGTAGTTGTTTATAAATAAATAATGTTTTACATGCGGTGTTTTTTAGACAAAGTCGCCATTTAAAGAAGCATTCCAAATCTATAGCTAAAAGGTATTTCTTGGCTCTGTTTGCACATCATTAAAACAAACATATGAGTAAATATCCAAGACCGAGGCTCCATACAGAAAAACTAGCCACATAGTACTTATATCAAATTTAGTAAAAACTAAATATGACAGGCCACCTAAGCTTTTAGATTTTGCAATTAAAAGCTTACGTGCCCGTCCAGAACTTGTTATCAAAACTATTCCAATTGTTCTTTTTAAGGGTAATTAGATTAAGTGCCATCTTGTTTGAGATTCACTTTTAGTTTTAAACTGTTTACGCATGAATAAGCACCTTTGTTAGTAACGATTCTAAACTAGCTTGAAACTATCCGGATCACGTAATAAATCTGGGAAATATGGTTATGCATTCGGAAAGCAAAGCCTTTAAAATTAGCAAAAAATTGTCATTTACACGCGTTAAGGGGTGGGGGTGTATATCAATAACAAGGACTCGTGAACATTCCCGTTTAATGCAACCATACATTTATATTATGGAAAGTAACTTGTTCACAACATTACGTACATCCAACATATACATTCTGAAAAGAAAAAAACACAGAAAGAAAAAACAAAAGGTCTGTGACAAATGTATTATACGAGTACTTTATATAACAAGCATTTAATGACATCTAAAACAAAATAGCATCAGTCAACATTTGGTTTTACGATTTAAGCAGTTTAGAGACACAAGATTACAAAGATAACTACACGAACATTACGTTACTGTAAAATATATATTCTTTCATCGGCACGTCTCTATTAGATAAAACAATCTATGAATATTTGCAATCTAAAACGAGTGTTTGCATTTTTAACAACATCGACAACAACAACAAATTGTTAAAAAAATCAACCGGATACGGTATAGTATTCGGACGAACTAAACTTATTTGGTACATTAAATGTAACATATTCTTGTGACTTAAGTTTTTAATTCCCACCATATTATGATGTTATTGTTGTTGCTGCTGTTGATAATGCTGATCATGATGCTGATCATGATGATTATAAAACACATGATTGCAATAATTGTACTGACCATAACATTTACATTAAGTGTCCATAAATCACAATGAACTTCTATGCTATCAGGAACATTAATATTCTTTCGTTTTATAACGATACCTGCTTTTGACAAACGGCAAAAATATCCCTTGTTGCTAACAAAACAAAGAAGTATTCCATCAATCAAAATGCCACAGATTCAAGAAACAGGTTTTACAGCCTGACTTGAGTGTGTTTAATGAACGATTATTATGTT